AACAGTTCTCATCTATGAAAAGGTATAATACCCACTTCACTGCCGTAGCGGGTATTAGCCATATTACATGCATGGCATCTGGCACATGGCACTGTAGGGGAGGAAAAATTTTTTTTTTTCTCTACCCATTTTAGGACATTGGATGGGGCTGTGAAAAATTAGGCTGACAAAAGACAGATTAGCTAGAGAAAAACAAACACTTGCATTACTCACACTCATGGGAGCACTCAAAGATGAGTCACTCAAAGGGGCAGTTAAGAATTCGTGCTTACACAGACAGCATCTTAGCAAAAGAGCAGTAAATATGTAGAGAAGTTACAAGATAAAGGAAAAGGACTCTGAGTTTCTAGGCAGCAAATTATGAGGGGGGTAAATACATGTAGGAAACTAATGGAAGATAAGAGTAGTTAGTAAAGGCTTTTATGTAGATTTCTCTGGGCTGTAAAGGGTCTCAGGTTGTCTCTGGTGATTAACTTCTGTTCTTCCTGGTAGAGAGGGGAGTGGGGATATCTTTACAAGTTTATGTCCTGCTTTTCAGAGGAGGGCAGAGAGCTTTTCTTGTATCTGCTTCTTCTCTTTTTCTTCAGCTCGAAATAACCAATATGCCACCATGACATTTTGGGGTAGCATATGCTGCCACCCTTCATCATCAATAGATAATAGGGTGCAACGTAGCACCCTACTATAGAGGACAGGTCTGGAGCAAGTCCAAGTTTGAACACTCGGTCTACTACTTAATGATATTGGAGACTTGAGCAAGTTACTTAAACTCCTTGTACTTCTATTTCTTCATCTGTAAAATGGGCATAACAATAATGAAATATTATTAATAAGAATAATTTATTAATATTAATATTAATAACGAAAGCATGCCACTCATAGAGCTTTTGTTACAAGGATTTGAAACCTTTTTAAACACTCAATACATTTTAAACAAATTTTGTCACATAATAAATGCTAAATAAATGTTAACTATAAGATCCTAATAATTAATAATAAGTACCTCTTGATGTGTTCCAGAAATAACTTGATGTGTTCTTCAAAATGTAGAAATTATCTTTCTTTTTCTCCCCAAACAGGCATTAAGAAGAAATATACCGAAGGAAAATTTCCTTTGCATCTTGTTTATGTGTTTGTTCACTGAACACACAGCCATTGAAATCATTTACATTTATAGAACATCAAAATATATATTAGGCCAAGGGAAATGCTGATGCTGAAAGCATTTGCTTTCATCATGTTGCTGCTTAAATAAAAGGACCATCTCACTTGGCCAGTGAAATACTGCTCTCTCAGAGAGTTAGAGGACGATTTATTAACCAAATGCCCCCAAATGCTGCCTTTGCACAAATCCAACTTACCCTAAGGGGCATAACTGACAGCAGAAACAAACAAAAAAAATTCTAGCAAAAGCTGAGCTTAATGTGTGCTCTCCCTGGTGATGAATAATTTAACTAGTCTCCCAATTTTTGAGAAACATGAGAGGAAAAGTTTTATCATGGCTATGGCAAGGTATAGTTAAGCATGAGTGAAAGCCAAAAATATTATCTCCTTTTGACAATGATGGAAAACTCCTGGGTCAACTAATTTAGAACGACTGGAGACAAGTTTGCTGTATTTGTGTACTAATTCAGCTTTACTTCCATCGACATAGTATACATTTAGGGCTTTTAAAAAAATATTGTGGACTGATACATTTTTGAGTAGCAATAAATATTAGAGAATCAAGTCAAGCTGAGAAGAAAAACTAATCTCTTTAAAAACTGATAATACAATTCAAACTGCTGCTTTTAAGTGTTGTCAAATTACATGCTCAATATTATCAGAGAAGCACTAGTACGCTAAGTTGAAAATGCCTAGAAGCTGTGGTATAGGCCAATATGTTGTCTTAACCTCTGTGTAGGTTTGGTATGAATTTGTCTCAATCCTATCTGGAGACTATGGAATGAACTGCATGATTTTGGAAAGTCCCTACCTGGCCTGAGCAGCTATGGCTCTTTTTAAAATGAACCAAGTTTGGAACCTGAAGAAGACTCTCTGCGTGAATGGTGGTTACTGGACGGTGGAGGCCCAACTGTACCCTAAGCCCCACCTACCCTCAGAAAGCTCTCATTTGTTCCCACTTCTGCTGCACACTGGTCTCCTTCAAATATCTAGCAGAAGCATCATTCCAGACCTAACCTTCTGTGCCTAACAATATAGCTGATGCAAGGCTGAGACATTTGGGTAAGCTTTTCTCAAAGTTTCAGCCATAAGAGAAAGAAAAAAACATATTTCTAGAGTAACACGACTGTAGATACTAGTACCTCACAGATCTCACTTGTTTGCTGGGGCTCACAGTATCTAACTCAGCCTATTTCTGGGTCCACCTTCAGAAAGCGGACACCATCGAATCCCCCAAGATTCCTAAGAACCTAGAACTAGAAACTTAAACTCTTCCTTTTAGGACAAAGAATAAAACTCAGAGAGACAAAGACAGTATTCTCTTCCCTATACCTAAGACTTACCTTCATAGTTTTTCTTATCTCAGTTATTTGTTATCTCAGAACCTCTTTCTGCCTTTGTGATTGACATCACAAATGATCATTTCCTTAAGAGAGGCCATAAATGCTCTATAAGGTAAGTAGCATTATCCTCACGGACCTCAACTAAAAAGCTGTATCTCAGTACTTAACTCCTGCATAAGAACAAGCAAACGAGTTTTATTTCATCCTTAAGCTGCCCCGCAACAGTTGGACTCTTCCAAGAAGTACATTTAATCTTAATGGTCTGTATGTGGGATCCGAACCCTCGGCGGGAGCACCACCGCACTCCCAAGCGGCACACTGGAGCAGTGCGCCACCGGGCCGGCCCAAGTTTACTGGTTTTCTAAGACACTGTTGGGACAGAGGTGGATGGTTCCTCCTCTGCCTCCTTTATGCCTGCCTTCTTCAGAATTAAACCCAGGATCAGCTGGCGAATTCAGTAGAAAAGCAAAGACGAGAATAGGGATTTATGCCAAAAGCCAGTAACTGGTGGGGCATTCTGGTTGTGATACACTACATATGCCTCACAAGCATGCAGTGAGAACAAACAATGCCAACCACCTCTCCTCGTGTTAGGTTAGTGAAGAGATCAGGGAACAGCAGTGATGTCAGGGGAGGGGTAGAATTCCTGTCTTCTTCAACCTTGTGACTTCTCAACTCAACTTCACAAATGGAAACATTATAGCAAAGTATTAAATATTCTTCCTACTAAGGTCAACTACAGAAGAGATGGAGAACAAAGAATGACATCTCAGTACAGCCTGATTTTGGAAAAGCACAATCATTGAAAATAGCACTATAGAGAATCTCTACAATTGTGAAGTACCTTCTATTTTAAGAAATAAGAATCTACTTACTCAGACAGGAAATCTGCATGATAGTAGTAATCTGAAAGTTTATCCAGGAAAGAACGGGGTTCCAAAATAAATGTAGGCAGAACCACCCTGGACAGATCCATGCCAGGACGGACTTGTTTCAGCAATGTCCAGATAAGGCTTTTGTTTTCTTCAGACACCGTTTCTGTTTGAGAAGCCTCTCCTGCCTTTAGCAATTAACAAAAACTACTGAAATATTATGTTTATTTCAGGCACATAGATATGTAAACAAGACAGCTATTTTTGAAAATATAAATTCTCTCCAGGACTATTCTAAGGATTTTTAAAATATGGAGACAATCTTTTAGGTAATAGACTATAGCTATAAAACTTAGGTAAAAAGGGTAGTTACAAGAAACATTGAAGTCAATGATATATAGAAAAGATCCACCACAAAAATCATTATACTTTATTGTTTTATACTATATTTACTTCTATACAATGGCAATAACAAGAAACTTATAAACACATATTTCCTTGCAATTTACTATACATCTGGCAATGACATCAAGCAGTATCCTATTTCAAAAGCAAATCTGAAAAAAAAAAAAAAACTTTAAATGGACTATTAAATTTACTAGAGTATTTGTGTGAGTATACGTGTTTCATCGTTTATAAATCCTTATATGTTTCACATGTATGCAACTTTTAAAATAAACTAGGTATCATATATTCTCTTTCAGGAAAATAAGAAATAGGTTAAGTAAATAATATCTTTAATTTCATTTGAAAATGCCCAAGAATTAGAAAACCAGAATCTCTGAAAATTACAGACTTCTACCTCTCCAAGTTCTTCATGGCTCTGTTCAGTGTAGGTAGTCTCCTTTAAAGGCTCAACAGGCTCAGGTTCAATATATGAGTCATCTTGCCTTTCTGAAGTATCTGTGTCACTCTCTTCACTTTTCCCCATTACCTCATTGTCAGACTCATCATGTTCTTGATCGTTTTCTTTATCAGATTTATCGGAATACATATCTTGGTCCTTAAAATGCTGTCGTTCAATTTCACCATCATTTAACCTTAAGAGAACAAATTATTAGGAGGAAGAATAAAAGAGGTTAAGAATACTTAATCTACAAATAAGAATGATATATAAAATTTATTTAGAATTTACTGTATGCTGGGCATTGTTTCAGGTGTTTTATATAGTTTAATGCATTTAATTTTCAAAATAACCCTATGAAATAGGTAATACTATTATTCTCATTTTATATACTTGTAAACAGAGGCATAGAGAAGTTAAATAAAAACCTGGAAAAATGTTAAAAGATGACACTCTGAGCTCTTTGCCTCTCTACCACTTCCAAAAGCAAAATTTTAGACTGCCTCTTGATAGATATTTTTTCTTACTTTTGCAAACATCATTACTTGAATCAATCTCACAGTCACTTCTGTTCTGAAGAAAAAGTTCAAGTCAAAATCATATAAGTGAGCGCAAATGAACTATGACTTTCCACCTGTAAAGTCTCCAAAGTCACCCAAAATAAGTCCAAGAGTAAGATAAAAACATGTAAAAGGTAAGTAATTGTATTGGATTTTATTTAATATTTGTCTGATAGTCTTAATCTTGAGGAAAAAGTCTAGGCAGAATTGGAAATAGAAATTTTAGTTTAAGGAAATGAACCTGTAGCCTAAAATCAATAAGTTCTGCAATACTCACCCTATTCTTACTTAAACTGATTAGGGAAAATAATCTGTACAAAAGGGGAAAAATCTTGGGAAGAGGTTCTAACAAATGCCCATTCCTAAATCAGTTACCCCAATCCACTCCCATCCTATCCCATTTAGGCTCCAGGTACTTGGAATTAAGATAAATTTCCAGATTGTAGGTCTGCAAAGAAAAGATGTAAAAGATCAGGTAATGGAGGTTTTAAAGAAAATAATAATAAAAATAATAAAATACAGTCAAGCAAAAGAATTGGGGAAAAAAACATTTGGTTCAGGTTACAAGGAGAAGAGCAACCTCAATGCTGATGGGAATTAGTGGCTACAGAGCAGAAACCATGGAGTGGGAGAGGGACCAAAAGGGAAGTGTGTTTTTCCTACAAAGCAACAAAAGAGACCTAAACTTCATCAAAATCTTTGTATTGCTGCTCAGTTTCCCTGGAGAATTTTTTTTTTAAGTACTAACTACAATGAATGCTTCAAGGGATAAAACCACATAGGATACAGTTCCAATTCAAAACACTTACAATATAAGAGGATTCCACAAATATCAAGTACTGTAAGTCCAATCTCATTACTAAAAACGTGCTATAGAATTGTAAAGGACAGATTCCATCTCATTGCTATGAGGCAGGAAAGGCTTCACATATGATGTAGTATTTGAGACTGACCTTGAAGAATACATGAGATTATGACAGGAGAAAAGAGGAAGGAGGAGTAGAAATCATTCTTAATGAAAGGAACACCATGCACTAAGACAAGGTGGATAGCATAGCTGTATTTGAGAAAGATAAAGTAATTCACATTAGCTGGAATCAATAAAATAAATTTCTACTCCTGATCATAGCAGCAAAACAAATTTTAAAACAGGCCTTAAGCCATATTATGGGAAGAAGGTGGGCAAATTTCAATCCTAGATACACTATTAAAATTCCAGGCCCATCAACTAACTTAGTGAACATATATGGTTTCTGAAATCATTAGTAAATTAGTTGCAATAATTACTTACTGGAAGTTGTCACCGCTGTGGAGATTGTTAGCACGTAATAAGCCATACAAAGTCACGTGTGTACTATCTGATGAAATGCTGAGGTCATGTTCCTTTCCTTCCCTGATCATTGTACGTTTAAGAAGACTAGAACATTTCAAAGCCAACTCCAAAGCATCCATCCAGCACCTTCCTAGAAGAACACAGATTCATAAGCAGTATAATTTTAAAAACTATGAAACTAGCATCCATCTTAATTTAGCCCTGTTACCTTGAAGTGTATTATTATTTCTTTGATAATAATGCACTGGAAAACTTAGCTTAGACATAAAATCTTGCTAGGATTTCTTTAGGCAATCTTTCAGTTTTACAAATGCTTTTTACATACTAATCATCTGGACACCACTGTTAGATGGACAGTATACAGCATGCATTAAAAAGCATACCTAATTTAAAATAAATGTACTTCATTTTCCAAATCTTAGAACATTAACTTGCAGCATAATTTGAAGGCACCAAGCAAGGTACATAAAATATACTGAAGGTGTTATGTCTCTACTATGAACAGACTCTCTGAAATAATGTTTCATTGTTGATAGGAGGTCTATCCTCAGGCTTAACATCTATTCTACTTTTATGTCTGAAAATTTTTAAGTCAAGGAAATGCCTGTATAATGCTATCTTAACTGCCATATTAAGAGAAACATTAATAGCTTCATTTTTTTAAATTAAAATTTAGAATTGCATTAGTAGAAAAATGTTCATATATATCTGTTAAGTGCTCTTAAAATCCATATATATATTTGTTTCAAGATCAGCCAAGTAAAACATTTTCATACCAAAAGTCTGTGCCTATATTTTAATTTAAAAAATAATCATCTGGTAAAAGTAAACTTTGGAAGGTTATAAGATTCCCTACACAAACTATGAAACTTGAAAGTGAGAAAGAAATCCATTGTCAATTATTAAGGTTTTAAAGTTACCTTGCTTTCACATAAATAAGTTTTGCTCTCCCAAAATTTGCTTCATGAAATAAGTATTAAGTTGTTATATGCGAAATAAGAGTTTGTAATTGAATGTTTTCTTATATAAAAAATAAACAAAAAGTGTATACACGTGTCATAAATGTTAGCATTTAATGATAAAAGTATTAAATATATCTCTAAAATGATAAATCTTAATGATCACAAAGAACACTAAAAAGGCAAAAAGGTGTTAATATGTCAATGGAGGATGAAGAAGAAGACTCCAAGCCATTAACTCATCAGTCAATTATACAATGCTTCCTTCTTATCAGATTTCCCTGTTTGTGTACCGAGTTAATAATATATTTAGTGTTCTAAGCAATTTATGATTACAATGCTTCTGCTGCAAATGCCATACTAAAAACAGATTTCCTCCCAAAATAATACAAAATAGTATATAAAATAAACCCTTAACAAAGAAAACCAATATCCAATCCATCAAAAACTGTATTTACCATCTGACTCTGAAGTAGCTCGGATGATCAAATAACTGCTAGGTAAGGGTTGAGTTATGGATCCAACTGCTTCACCTTTTGGACCCTTAATAACCAAATAAACAAAATAAATGGTGTACAGTAAATACCAGGAGATCTTAACTTTATATTATCCTTTATTATCTGTCATAATCTAAATCAGGCATGGATTATAATTTAAAAGCAAACAAGCTTAATTTAACCCTTCCTATAAATGCAAATGTAAGGTATTAAGTTTTCTTTTCCAACAAATATACCTCCTTAAAACTGTACAAATTATAGTTATCACTTAGATATTATCTCTACATATTACTCACATATTAAAGGGAACTTAAATTTACCACACTAAACCAAATTTTAATTTAATAGAGATTACCATCTCACAGATACTTCTAGGTAAGAAATGCTAAATTTCTAGAAACCTAAAGAAAACAGCTGGAAATAATGTAATTCACAAGAAAAAGAGAAATAAATTTTGACTGGGTTTAGAGAAAAATAAATCTCCATTTTATAACTAACGATATACTTGTTTTTAAAGACAAACTATAAAAACTAATTTTGTTTTTACAGAAATAGGAAAGAAAAAGAAATCGTTGTTGTTGTTGCTGGCGGGGGTTATTTGTTTTAGAAGTACATAACACCACATTTTATAACTAACGATATACTTGTTTTTAAAGACAAACTATAAAAACTAATTTTGTTTTTCCAGAAATAGGAAAGAAAAAGAAATCGTTGTTGTTGTTGCTGGCGGGGGTTATTTGTTTTAGAAGTACATAACACCAACAGTAATCAGTATCAGCAAGGCTAAACTTCAGTGGACACAGTTCTTACCTGGAAAGAAAACTAAGTATCAAGTTCACAGTATAATTTTGATACAAAAGTATAATTTTCAAAGTTGTTTTGAAAGCATTCCTTAAAATTATCAGATCAAAGAATAAAATGGATTTCAAGAAGCACAAACATTAAAAAGTAAAGATACAGGTTCAGACTGAAAAAGTGGGGAAAAAATCAATATGGCTTTAACAAATACTGTAATATCCTGAGCATTTCCAAAAAGCTTTATAATTTATGGGCCAGTTCCTAGAAATGATATGGAACAGGACCTAGAGTCAGACTGCCTGGGTTTCAATCCTAGTTCTGGACTAGTAAAGTTACTTAAGTAACCTCTTTAGGCTTCAATCCCTTTATCTGTATAATGGGAGGAAACTGTATCCTCCTAATAGCATGAGAATTAAATAAAAGATTCCATGTAAAATGTTCAAAAGAGTACCTGACATAAAGAACTCATAAATATGTCCAAAGCAGGTGTTGCTTGTGGGGAGTATTCTGATGTTCATATAATTGTACAAATTTCCCTCTCTTCCTCCAGTACTTGAAATTAAATAAATATAACATTAAAATATTTAAAATGATTTAAAAATTCATCGTAATTCTTATAATTCCTTAGAGTAGTAGTAGAATAAAATACTACATATAAAAAGTTTTGACAGGGGCCACCCTGTGGCGCACTCGGGAGAGTGCAGCGCTGGGAGTGCAGTGACGCTCCCGCCATGGGTTCGGATCCTATATAGGAATGGCCGGTGCACTCACTGGCTGAGC